TCAGCTTTCCAGGTACCAGCCTTGGAGGAAGATGGTGTGTGTTGTAAGTATTGTGGTGACAGTGAGCTTGATGTGATACAGACTTGTGGCACAAATAAGATGGGTCAGTCTTTGTTGACTAACTGTTGTTAGGATATGGCCCTACGTGTTATATGTTGGGTCACTTCCTTTTCCTTTTTTGTATTGATTTTATACTGCCAACAACTATGCACCTCAAAATACATATGAAGTCTCACTGGTGGGGACACTACAATTTCAGGGTTGCACTTATAAATGGGATTCTATAATTCTCAGCCAACTATATTTACATGATGTTCTGACAGTGTCATTGTCTTGTACAATAAGAACATAAGACATAGGAGCAGAAATTAGGCCATTCAGCCCATCGAGTCTGCTCTGCCATTCAATCATGGCTGGTAAGTTCCTCAACCCCATTCTCCCGCTTTCTCCCTGTAACCCTTGATCCCCTTGATAATCAAGAACCTATCTATCTCAGCCTTAAATGTACTCAATGACCTGGCCTCCACAGCCTTCTGTGGCAGTGAATTCCACTGATTCACCACTCTGACTGAAGAAGTTTCTGCTTACCTCTGTTCTAAATGGTCTTCCCTTTACTCAAAGGCTGTGCACTCAGGTCCTAGTCTCTGCTACCAATGGAAGCATCTTCCCAACATCTACTCTGTCCAGGCCATTCAGTATTTTAAGTTTCAATTAGCTCCCCCCCTCATCCTTCTAAACTCCAATGAGTATAGTTCCAGAGTCCTCAAACGTTCCTCATATATGTTAAGCTTTCCATTCCTGGAACCATTCTTGTGAACCTCCTCTGAACCTGCTCCAAGGCCAGTACATCCTTTGAGATATGGGGCCCAAAACTGCACACAATACTCCAAATGTGGCCTGACCAAAGCCTTAAAGCCTCAGGAGTACATCCCTGCTTTTATATTCAAGTCCTCTCAAAATAAATGCCAACATTGCATTTGCCTTCCTGACTACTGACTCAACCTGCAAGTTTATCTTGAGAGAATCCTGGACTAAAACACCCAAGTCTCTTTGCACTTCAGACTTCTGAATTTTCTCCCCATTTAGAAAATAGTCCATGCTTTTATTCTTACCAAAGTGCATGACCTCACACTTTCTCACGCTGTACTCCATCTGCCACTTCTTTGCCCACTCCTAACCTGTCCAAATCCTTCTGCAGCCTCCCCACCACCTCCATACTAGTCCTTCCACCTATCAGTGCATATCTGAGCACTGTTTAGGCACAGTAGTCAGCACAACATTGATTGAGACCAGTGAATATTGCCAAGCACTGCAAAGCTTGAAGTTGTTTAGGTCTCCAGTTACCATTCTTACTCCCATTTGTGTTAGATCTGAATTGCACTGATCAAAAATTATTCCAAGCTTAGAAGGGAGGGTTGGTGAGGAATGGGATGTCACAATACAGAGATGCTTGCATTACTTTTGTTGGACAATATTTGGCACTAAAATTAAAACTATTTGAAGATGTCAACAACACTGCTGTCATGTAGTACTTGCTCAGCAATAACCTGCTCACTGACACTCTCTCTTTAGATTCCACATGGGTCACTAAGCTCCTGTGACCTCATTACAGCCTTGGTTCAAACATGGATAAGAGAGCTGAATTCCAGAGGTCAGGTCAGAGTGATTGTCCTTGACATTAAGCCTGCATTTGACAGGATGTGACATCAAGGAGCTTTAGCAAAACTGGAATCATTGGGAACTTGGGGGAAAAACTCTCGAATGATTGGAGTCATACCTGGCACAAAGAAAGATGGCTGTGCTTGTTGGTTCTCTCTTTCCAGGATATCTGTAGAGGACACTGAGGTGTCTACAGATGGCCCCTATAGCAAGGCCAAGGGCATTCCCCCAGGATAGTATCATTGGCCTAGCAGTTGTCAGTCTCTTCAATGACCTTTCCTCCATCAGAAGGTCAAAAAGGGGATGTTAACTGAAGAATGCACCATGTTCAGCACAATCTGTGACTTCAGACATCGAAGCAGTCTATGCTCAATGGGCTCACCACAAACTGTTGCTTGGTTCCTGGCAAGTGATTACAACCCTTTGGTGTACACAATAGAGCAGAAACATGTGGAAGAGATTGCTGGGCTCCTTGCTGACAGATTTGTATCCTTGATAGCCATGAGTTAGGTGAGGGAAGACTGGAGTTTGGACAATGTGGTGCCATTATTTTAAAAAGGTGGTATGGAAAAGCCAGGGAACTAGAGTCTGGTGAGCCTGACATCAGGGTTGGGTAAATCATTGGGGATTCTGAAGGACAGGATTTACATTCCTTTGGAAAAGCAGGGATTGATTATGGATAGTCACCATAGCTTTGTGCGTGAGAAATTGTATCTCACTAACTTGATTGGGTTTTTTTTAAGAAATCAAAGATGATTGATAGACAATATAAACCATTCTGCCTCAATGTGGACTCTAGCAAGGCATTTGACAAGGTTCTGCATGGTAGACTGGGCAGCAAGGTTAGATCACATGGAATCCAATGGTAACTACTCAGTTGGATACAAAATTTCCTTGAAGGTAGGAAGCAGTGGGTGGTGGTGGAAGGTTGTGTTTTGGACTGGACATCTGTGACCAGTGGTGTGCTGGGTGCTTTTCTTTTATGTAAGTGATTTGGATGTGAATATAGGAGGTATGCTTGGTAAGTCCTGCAGATACCACCAAAATTGGTGGTATAGTGGATCGGGAAGAACGTTATCTTAGAGTACAACAGGACTTTGATCAGATGAGCCAATGGGCCAAGAAGTGGCAGATGGAGTTTAATTTAGGTGAATGTGAGGTAATGCATTTTGGTAAGGCAAATCAAGGCAAGAGTTATGCAGTTAATGGTAGGGCCCTGGGGAGTTTTGCCAAACAGAGACCTAGGGATGCAGGTGCATTGTTCCTTAACAGTGGAGACACAGGTTTACAGGGTAGTGAAGAAGGCATTTGCGCATAATGGCTTCCATTGGTCAGTGCATTGTGTATAGGAGTTGGAATTCCATGTTGCAGCCATATAAGACCATTGTTTTGCTGATTTTAGAATACTGCATTCAGTTCTGGTCTCCTTGCTATAGGAAAGATGTTAATGCTGAAAGGGTTCAGAAAGGATTTACAGGATGTGGCCAAATTGGAGGGAAAATCTGAATAGGCTGGGGCTTTCTTTCCTTGGAGCATTGGAGGCTGAGGGGTGACCTTTTTAGAGATTTATAAAATCGTGGTATGGTGAATAGCCAAGGTCTTCTCAAGATAGGGGAATCTGAAACTGGAGGATGTAGGTTTTAAGGTAAGGAGGAAAGATTTAAAAAGGACTTCAGGGGCAACTCTTTCACACAGAGGGTGGTGTGTGTGTATGGAATGAGCTGCCAGTGGAAGTCGTGGAGGTGGGCACAATTACAACACTTAAAAGGCATCTGGCTACATGAATAGGAAGGGTTTGGAGGGAAATGGGCCAAATGCTGGCAAATGGGACCAGGTCAGTTTAGGGTATCTAGTTGGCCTGGACAAGTCTGCTTCTGTGCTGTACAATTCTATGACCATCTAGCCTGGAAAGAGCAAGCACCTCAGTTTTCCCCACCCTCTCCTTCCCCTGTCTCCTCTGGACAAAAGATTTTAATTTGAATGCTGGAAATGTTGGGCAAAAAAGACAGCAATGAAGTGGGAGGGGCCTGTTCATGAGTGGGTGTGGCATGTGGCAAGGGTGGGGCTATTTCAGGGTTTTGTGGCCAAGTCAGTGGGGGAGTGCCTCGTTTTGGAGGGGAGAGTAGTGTAGTAGGCAGGACCTTGACTGTGGAGTAGGTAGTGTGAGTAGGCACGAACCATCAAACAGACCATTATGTGCAGCAAACTACCCGGCCTTAAGGAGAACATCAACACCATGCAATCTTGCTATAGCAACCTCTGTAAGATGTCAGATCAGCAACATGGATATTACTATCGTATGTGGGAAACATGTGCATGGCACATACTTATGTGCCTTAGGCAACAGTGACCTTCTCATACCTCAGGGCATCCTTGCCTGCAGTGTATCTTATATTGGTAAGATTATGCAGACGCTATGACAATGGATGAATAGACACCTTGCAACACTTGCCAGACAGGGATGTTCCCTCCCAGTCAGGGAACACTTCAGCAGTCAAGGACATTCACCCTCCAATCTTGGATAAGCGTTTCCGCCCCCTGACCCCAGGTGGCCCTCGAGATACACAACAATGCAGAATCACTGAGCAGAAAGTGATAGCCAAGTTCTGTACCTATGAAGATGGCCTCAATTGGGATCTTGGGTTCATGTTGCATTACATAATAAACCCCCACATTTCTGTATCTTTAAAATCTTCCTTATTGTCCTGTTTTGTCACCTGTACCTAGATAAATTGTTATGATCGCTGTACCTTAATTAGTTTGTATAGTTTTGGATTACTTGTATCAGACCCTTGGCATGTAACTCTTATACCTATCATGTTATTTCAGTCAGTTGGTTTGTCTCCAGCACCACCTTATTTTCTCGTAATTATCTTTCTTGCCTTATTTAATTGAGTTATAGGTCATTGTTTTTCTTGTTATTCAGCTGTTGACACTTTACTCACACCACCTAACACTCTTTTTGATCACCTGCGGAGGCTTATTTGGTACTGCACTCTCGCCATTTGTATGATCTTTGGATCTCTCTGCCCTCGAGATCTCTCTCTCTGTCCATAAGGTTTCTCCCTCGCTTCACCTGATGAAGGGTCTACGCGTTGAAAGCTTGTGATTTCAAACAGAGAAATGTCAACTTTCCTGCTCCTGTGATGTTGTCTGACCTACTGTGTTCCTCCAGCTCCACAGTGTATTGGCTCTGTGTCCAAATAGACGTGTTGGAGTATATGCTGGTGTTGTCCACCCTGTTCATCACCAGCACCTCCACGGCTGGGCTAGATGGTGTCAGGGGGCGGGACCTTGTCTGGGCGGGGCGGTGTGGTGTCAGTGGGCGGGGCTTGCCTGATATTAAAGCGAGCAGCCGGTAAACCGGTTGCACAGTGAAGATGGCGGTCGCGTACGTGTCTGCTATGAGGCGGACTTCTAACGGAGCGGCGTTTTGGGCATTACGGGGCAGTAGTAGTAGTAGTAGCAGTAGCAGCAGGTGAGTCACCATTTAACGATTGTGTGTGGGTGAGGAAGCCTAGGCATAAGGCCCGGGTAGTGAGTACCCCCAACACGCCCCAAATGGGCAGTGATCCCGGACCGGGCGCCATCACTACTACGGCTCTTGGTGGGGAGGTCTGGGGAGATGCTGGCCCGCGAGCTGTCGGGGGTGGGGGGCATGTCCTCCCGCCACTCGGTATTTCTCTGGGCTGGAGACGGCGCTGAGAGCGCTCGCACCGTCTTCAGTCGGGAAGCCGCTTGCCTCCGTTATATTCCGGCTATAGGAAGGGAGTTTGTGATTCCACAACCCGGTGAGTAAACTGTCATTTCACAAGGGGAGGAGATGGGGGATGGGCTAGGGGCGCGGGGGACTGAAGGGAAGGGAAGGGATGGAAAGGGCGGGCGGTGGAAGGGGATAATTGGTGTATGGGGTTTGTTTGTTAGCGGCAAAGGTTGTGAATTTTAAGTCCCCGGCCCGGATATGGAGTTCGGGAATCGTCGTTATTCCCGGAAAGTGCAGCTGGTCTGAAGGAGTGGCCGTCTTTTTGACGGATGAGCCGGAGGATTCAATCCAGGGCCAGCTGCTTCTGCTGTCGTGCTGCTTCTCACGTAGGCGCTTCAATTTTCTTTCCACCCCAGCCTGAAACCCTATTTTAGCTCGAAAGCAGCAAATCGGTCCGAGACTTGAATATCCTTTTTTTTTGTGTGTATTAGTGGGTTACGGCGTATTTTACGATTCACCCTGAATAATTTGCGGTATTGCAAAATGTGTTCCGAATGATTGACCAAGGTCAAAAGTTTCCTATTTGTGTTCAAAAATTGTCCCCGTAACTTTTCGCTCAAAATTACACCGGCTCACCAAACGCAGGTTTTTCTTTGAAAAAGAAGGGAGATCTGTGAACCGGAGGATGGAAGAAAATTAGACGAAAAACTTGCGTCAAGGTCAAATTTCTGCTAGATCGACCAGACGCGCAGACGTTTTTAGGACTGATACATGCACTGGGGGTTCCCGTAATCATTTCTGTTCGCGCACTGGATGGAGGTTAATGTAGCTTTTCTCTTCTCGGTGCTGTAGGAGGCCTCTTTTTCTGGGGGAAGAGGGCTTGGGTTTATTAATTTTTTTTTAAACAGGACCTTTTATAAGGCTTTGTCAGTGTTCTGAAACACTTCAAATTGAAACGTAGTGTTCTGTAGGTAACTTCAGAATGCTTGCAAACATTACTGCTTTTGTTGTAAAGTTTTGTGGTCTGAAAAGTGTTATTTCGTTCTGGGACCTTGAAAGTAACCCTTGTATAGAGCAGGAATTTAGTTTTGAAGGCTAGCCAATATTTGACATTTTTAGATGGTTTTCTCTCTCTCTCTCTCTCTCTCTCTCTCTCTCCACCCCCCCCCAATCGCTCCCTGCTCCAAGTGTTGTTTCCCCTCCTGGAGGTCTAAAAGAAATAAGAACAAGAGTATACTGTTCACCCCCTCAAGCCTGCTGTATCATTCAGTAGAATTGTGGCTGACCAGACATGCATCATGGCAGTTGTTTAGTAGCAATGCTTTGCTGTGATCTTGTTAAAGTGGCTGCATAGAATCCCTACAGTGTGGAAACAGGCCCTTCAGCCCAACCAATCCACACTGACCCTCCGAGCATCCCACCCAGATCCATCTCCCAATTCCCTTTACCAGTAACCCACCTAATTGACACCTCCCCTGGACACTGGGCAATTTAGCATGGCCAATCTACCTAACCTGTACCACTTTGGACTGTGGGAGGAAACCAGAGTGCCTGGCGGAAACCCACACAGACACGGGGAGAACGTGCAAACTCCACACAGACAGTTGCCCGAGGTGGGGATTGAACCCTAGTGCTGTGAGGCAGCAGTACTAACCACTGAGCCACCGTGCTACCCCATGCTTCACGGCATCCACGGTCAAGAATAATGACCGAGTGTGCTCTTTGTTAATCCCAGGAAATGGAGCTGACCTGAAGGAGTGGCTGTCTTTTTATTGGATGAGCCAGGAGGGGTTGCAGTCTAGGGTGCTGCTTGGTCTTTTCAGAATACCCTTTGCCTGTTGGGTTTTTTTAATTTTTGACTTAAAGATTGGAATGAGGCACACCTGGGGATAGTAAATTGTTGTCCCTGATACATTGGACATGTAATTATTTCATCTAAAATTTGTTGAAATATCATGATTAGCATGAGGGTTTCAGGGCTAGGGAAGAATACAGCTGAGGCATGATTGAACAATTGCAGAGTGAAGGAGAATTTTAAGACTGAGGCCTTGCTTAATTGGAGTTCAAGCAAAACCGAGATTGCTGAGAATTCTCAGCAATTCTGGCAGCATCTATGGAGAGAAAGCAGAATTAATATTTCAGGCCCTGTGACCTTTCAGAATGTTCTGAGGTGTTTTGAGGGGTGATTGACTTGATGAGGCTACTATCAAGTTGACTTGCACATGCAGTTGGGAGAAGAAAATAAATCCCACTCATCATCACAAATCACACAGTCCTGAGGAAAGATAATACTCAAAACATTGACTTCTCCTTTCCTCCAAATGCTGCCTGGCTTGCTGTTCTTCCAGCCTCCTGTTTGTATGCCTTGGATTCCAGCATTTGCAGTTTTTTTTTGTCTTGTCTCAAATCACACTCCTTGCTGTTTCCACCCCCAATCCTGGCCCATACTAAGATCACTTCATTTAATTTCATGTACTAGCATGGAAAGTTCCTTGCTCTTGACTGACTTATTCACCAAAGCAAACTTGTAATGTAGTCAACATAATCATTTTCAAGAGGTAAATGTTTTATCTGATGGTAGGGTTGCCAGGATGTGAATTTGGCTCAAATAGATGAAAAATTGAGTGCTATTTAAGTTACAACTCTAAATTTTGACTTTTTAATGCCTTTTAAGATACTTGGTGTAGTATTACATTGAGGCAGACATGGTATCTGCACTGTTTTGCATGTACTGTTAATGGTTTTAAGATTTGCAGCTGGCAAATGTAGACTCCATTAATTATAAACATTCTGCTTAATTAGTTCTAATTACATTTTAGGATTGAAATTTATTCAACCTTTATGTTCTGCCTTAAGGTTTTTATTTTGTACTTCCCATTTCAAGTAGCTGTTTCAACTTTTTTTTTAGCAGTGTAATTTTTTTTGGGATTGGAGTCTTAAAGCAACGCCTAACTCTGTGTGCTGCCTATCTCTTAGGCTCACCTCTCCTCCAAAAAATCTAACTTAACGTCAGCAAGTGATTGTGGATTCTGCAAGAGTAATGCAAACAGAAGTTTCTCATGGGCTGGAAATTTGGTGGAACGCGTGCAGAATTTCTAAGTGTTTGTTATATTTGAGGCATTGAGTAAGATTCAGGGTATAGAATTTCAATCTGGAAATCATAGCTACTTCAAATGAAAGATTAATATAGGATTTCCCTTTTTAAGTTTATCTCTACCTGCTCTTTTACTTAGTAAAGAATAAAATAAGCCTTACTTTGAAGGTGCAACTGTTCCAACATGGAATTTCATCAATCCTAGAAATACTGCTGTGCTTTTCTTTTGTATAGAAGAAAGTGTTTTCTATAGGATTCTCTGTTTAAACTGACCGGTCCAAACTGGTTATGCTGTGGTGCCGCTGAAGCATTGAAGATTTTGTTGATGTTAGTGAGCTTTTAAGGTGAACAGATGGATTGAAGGAAAAAGGCTGTCCCAATTTTTGTTTTAAACAATACCCCTCTTTTTTTCTCTGCACTGATGCCTGGTTTTGTATGAATGGTGGGAAATTATTGGGGCTTTGTAAGCTTTTATTATTTTTGACTTTTATGGAAAAATGTAATTCAGTACTTCAGACTTTGAAAGTGCTCTGTCTGTTTTTGGTACTTTAAATAAATGAGGTAAAATATTTATCTAGCTGTTATAACATGTTCCCCTTCTCGTTAGAATGAAATTTAGAACTGCTGGAAGTTTTGCATTTTAAGAAAATAGGAAATTTTAGCTACCTGAATCCTCAGTGTGATATTTGGGGTTTTTAAAAATTCTTCGGTGGGAAGAAGTCTGGTGTTCCATTTCAATTCTTTTAGGCTCAGCTTGTGTGAAACCCATTGAATATTTAGTTTGCAGATCAGGCATTAAACTCAACTGCCTCTGCATGTTGTGGCACTACTTGGAAAAACAATTCAAAGTTGATGTCCTTGCCAGCACCTCAAATGGATTGTCTGGTTGCTCCAAGTTTGGAGGAATGGGGGTGGTCCGATGTGAACTTAGCATTTAAGTTGCATCATGCTAGGCCGGAAAAAGCTTGGCAGACAAGTGGGCTGCTTTCCTTCTGAGGAAGGGTCACCAGACCTGAGACGTTAACACTGATTTTTGTTTCTTCTTCACATATGCTGCCAGAGCTGCTGAGCTTTTCCAGCAACATCTGTTTTTGTTCTTGATTCACAGCATCTGCAGTTCTTTTGGTTCTTGCTTTGGTTCATTGACTGTTGTACATTCATTCAAAGCTTTCTTTTTTTTAAAAATAACCTTTAAATACAGTGGATGTGGAAGATGTATGCATTACCGTTCTGACCGGGGGATGGTGGGTAGAGGGTGTGCTTGCTGTTTTGAGGTCAACCGCACTTAACTTTCTCACTGAGCATGAGGAGAAATCTGGTATTGTGTAGTCCAACTTTTCACGAATTACTGCTTCAAAATATATTACGCACTTTGTGATATTGAAGTCAAGTAATACTTTTAAACTTGTATTAAACTTGCATCAAAATACTGGTTCATTTAAAATGCAATAAATGACAATACAGACTTGAACAATGAACTGCCAGCCATGCTGAAACTGGTCAAATGTAGCAAGTATCTGGTATGGACAGAAAAGGCATATAATATGTGGAAATTATATCCAAGCTGGTTAAGTGGAATAATATGTTTCAATTCTAGGGGTTTCTTGACTGTCTGTGGTGGTACTATCCAACACAAGACCGAAGAAAATCAAGATCAACTGGACTCTGCCAACACTCTCAAGTGTGCTGCTGAAAATGCAATGCAACAAAAGATGTCTCCTAGTCCATGTGCTGGTCAAAAAAAGCTGCAACTTAAAATGAACGAGTTAGTGAAAGAACATCAGACCCTGCAGGCAAGTCTCATTTGAATAGTGTTTGTGACCAAAGTAGAACCTGCAGCCAAGCCTCTATTTGCTACCATGTTTGTCACCCTATGTGCACACAGTAGTGCCTAAAGTTGCTCACCTGGTGGAAAACGCAGGGCTCAACAGTAATCTTTCTGGGAGCAGTTGTTTACTTGGTGTTTCATTGGTGCATCTCAAAGCTTGCACACCAAAGTGTGCCTTTTTAAGTTTTTAGATTGATTAATTCAGTTAGGTTAACAAATGCATGTAAATCACAGCTGCAAAATCTGGGCAGTCATAAACTACAGAGACTGGGAGGGGCACCATACAGCAAACTGTTCCCTGCTCAGTTGTAGTTCAGAGCATCCATAAGTTGCTGTTAGTGATTGCCTGCTTCTAGGGTGTGACTTTGTAATTCTTGTACTGAGAAATTGCTTGATTTGACATGAACCTCTTCCTGCTTTGCTTTTTCTAGTTTCCCTTAAACCCTTGAAGTGACTCCTCTTGTAGAAAGATTTTTTTTTTTTGTAAAATGTCAAATTTGATGTTAATACCTATCTCAATCCCATGCGTATACGCCATCCTCTATTTTGCTTGGTGAAAAATTATCAAGAGTAAAGGATGGTAAGTACTTTTATTACTATTTGGGTTTGCTCTGAGTACTGTTTCTTAGCCTGAAATGTAATCATTGGTGCTGAATGCCAGAGATCCCCTTTAGGTGAGTTTGAATTGGAATTAACACTAGCTTTCAAGATCAGTGGTGAAAGCAGCCTCTTAGCCTCTGACTACAAAATCCTAGATTATATCTAACATGACAAAATGGATAAAATAGACTACTGCTTTTATAAAAATAATTGTTTTAAGATTAGTTTGTTATAAATAAAATTGATGCTGGAAATAGAATTTTGAGCCAGTGTAAGGAATAAGGTGACCAATGAAAGTGAAGTACTTTGGAAACTGGAGATCTGAAATAAGAGTTTTGGAGAAACTCGGCAGTTCTGGTAGCATCTGTAAAGAGGGGGGGATGAAACACATCTAACATTGAGTTGAATATAATTCTTCAGAATTCAACAAAGAGTCATATTCTACTGAGAATTAACTTAGTTGCTCTCCAGCTCCTACTACACAATGTGCTTCACTAGCACCTGCTTTTATTGAGGATTAGGCCCTCTTGACATTCTGGTCATGGGCAACTAAGATCCTATGCAGTTCTAAAATGATGTAAACTCATACACAATCGGAGTGTGACCCTATCAATTCAGGAATTCTGACCTCGTGCAAATGATGTACAGGCTTTATAAATCTGTGTTTGTGTAGCCAAGAAGCCTGGATTCAATTCCCACCTGCTCCAGAGGTTTGTAGTAACATCTCTTGGCATTCTTGCCAAGAGGAGGCTCTTGTGGTGCGGTAGCCATGCCCCTATCTCTAGAGGCAGGAAGTTTGGTTTCCAGTCCCACTTGCTCTAGAGGTGTGTAATAGCTGATTTTTGGAAAATATTTGCATTTTAATAGAAAACAATTTCTTCCAATAAGGCTAGAAAATGAAATTGTTGCTATAGTCCATGCCATTCTCAAACAGATTCTGAGAGAAATAGAAACCAATGTTGGGAATAATGTGAACTATCTGAGCCAAGATCAACCCAGCTGAAGTAAGACCTAAAGCTGGTCAAAACCTCTGCTCTGATTTGCTGTCTTCCATTCTTTGAGCTTGGATTCACAACATTGTTGAGGGAAGAATTAGTTGTATAACCAAGGAAACCAAATCCTGAGGTTAACGTCTGATGCAGTATTTGATTTGATTAGACATATGCAGCCAAGATGGTGGACTCGAGGTAGCATTCAGTACCATTGACTAATTAAAAGCCTGCAGATGGAGTGTTTCAAGTATTTTTGTTTGTTTTAGTTAAGTCAAAAACTTGTTTTAAATCGAACGTTTTGTCCTTTTTTTGACCAGATGAGAAAATAACCTAATTGGCTATCTGAATTGTTGTCTTGTCAATATGTAGCTTAAACCCATGTCTTTTTGTTATTGCCATAGATTTTGATGCACCTATATTGTATTCAATTGAATACAATGAAATTTTGATCTTGACGACAAAATTAACTTGAGGAATTGAGTTCCAAAATCACTTAAAGTGGAACCTGTTTACTACTGGCTCCCAAGTATGGAAAATGTCAGAGGTTTTTAACACTAGTGTGAGCAAACGTTGTGAATTATTTTGTGTGCTGGATTATAACACTGCATTCTAATAATTGTATTCCTGAAGCCAAATTTCAGGCCAGTGTGGAACATCGGAAGTTTGGATTCTGCACCGGACCATCCGAATGCTCATTGCAGGTGACTTGCAGCATCAAGGTGGATGAGCGTTGTGAAACGGAGTAGCAGGGGCTCTGATCCTTGAAGTTGAAGGTGTGTTGTCAGGAGTTTGTTGAGAACAAGCTCTTGATTCTAAACAAAGCAAACCAACTTCATGTGAAAAATGGTGGCAAACTGGGAATTGGTTGCAATCTTTTAATAAGCTACTAATTAATTTTAAGTGCACCTTTTTGAGTGAGTAGCTTGCATACTGTAGCATGGAGTTGTCAATTGTTCATGCTATTAAACTGGTTTATAATTTTGCATATTTCCCTCATTGATTGTATGCAGTCTCATATTCCATGCATTTTCAGGTGCTCTCCACCCTCAGTATTTCATCCAAATAATTACTTACCATGCCTGAGCCTGGAATTTGGTAGCATGGTGTGTAACTGGTGGAAATTATGATCTGGTACTGTATTTGCTTAACATCCAGCAGGAAACTGCTGAACTTGGAGCAGGTACCCTGGCTAGTTTTCCCTCCTTTAACCCAGGATACAAATACCATGAATGATTTGTTCACTACCGATGACTGATCAATACAGGCAAAGGATTGGACTTCATCTGTTTGGTTCTGTATTCTGTTGTCACTCGTTTGTTTGTATAAATTTTATCCATTGGGCTCTTTAGCAGTAATGTAATATTACATTGGATAACACTTGTGTACATACTTCCAATTTTAACGCTGTATAGCAGTATTTTACACAATGCTCAGTGAAACAATTCATGTAGATTACTATGGACAGACTTAATCAGAATCTGGTTTACTATGTTCACGCTATGAAGTTATGCTTTTTTGAAGTACTCTAACTGTATAAAGGTCCTCACTTTCTTAAATGTCTATTTTGACTCTTGTTTGGTTTTTAATAGGAGAAGTATCGGAGAATTGTAGCCCATGTTGAAGATGACAATAGAAGAATCAGAAAATGTGTTGAAGATGCCAGATTATATGGTATGTGTGTATATATAAATTGTACTTGCTAAGTTTCAAGATTTATCTTTTTAAGCCATTGATACGTATCCCTGACTAAATGATTTGTGCATCTGCAATAGACTTGATACGTGGCTTTTTTGGGTTAGTGAGAAATTACTTGGAAATCTGAACTGGTTAAGACTTGAAATTTATCAGTAAGGGTTCATTGGAACAGCTTAAGGGAAGGGAATTACAAAATACTACTGCAGATCCAATGCATGTTTTAATGAACAGCATTTTTTCCTTTCCGTAGGTATTCATAGTCTTTGTAAAGATATCCTAGCAGTAGCTGATCTCCTAGAAAAGACAACTCGGAGCGTAACTGAGGAGGACCTTGCTAACTCCAGCCCAACTTTGAAGAACTTCTATAAAGGTGTATGCTTGATTGATGAGAAGCTGTGCAAAATATTTTCTAAGCACGGATTGGAGAAGATGAATTCCATTGGCCTTGAATACAACTCAGCTGAACACGAAATCCTGCTGCGTGTTCCATCTGTGGATGCGTTACCCAGTACAGTGGTAAAAATAGTACAAGAAGGGTATAAACTTCATGGCAGGGTTCTAAGGACTGCACAAGTTGGACTGGCCATTGAGGCCCAGCCACATTTTAAGGCACAGTAGAACTGAATTTTCTGACTGTCACAATATAGTGTATGATCTTAGAATTAATTCTATGAAAAATATCCTTTTCATTGATGGTTAGCTATATCATGAAGGGCATTGAATTGCTGCTAAGATTTGTCTATGAAGGTGAGTGGGGTGCAGAAACATATGATGTCACGTGCATTTTCACATGTCCCATCAAATCTATTGAAGGTGATATGCCTGTTGTACTGAAAGCTTAAGGCATGATAGAGGTCTAGTTTGTCTAACACTGCCAGAGAACTCCAACTTGTCTCGACCCACTACATAATAAAAGAACTCGCAATGGAAGTGCCTCTGATTCAGTCTGTAGTTGTGCCATGAAAAGTTGTGGTCTACACTAAGATTATAATTTCTTTTAGTTGTTACAGTTTGCCACAGTGCTCCTTTTTTAAGGTGTGAAATGTCTTGAATTCCCATTCCTGGCTATGTCTTTATCCCCTTGTGTGAATTGATGGATTGGAATCAACAAACAGTTGGATAATTTCACAATTTGCAATATATCAAGGCTTATAACAGCACTACAATTGGAAACCTACTGTAGAATTACTTGGAACTGAGCCTTAAGGCTGGGGGGTGGAAAAAACAAAATCTAGAAAGGGCAGTAAAATTTTACCAGGATTAAATGCTTCATGTAATGGCCTTCCAGAACTCTTAGTTAAGATTAGGTTGTTGCTTGGAAATTTTTGCAATGTGGAGGCTTTTTCTTGTCAAAATGTTGAGTTAGAAAAGATTGAATTCTATTCAGTTCCACTGTGCAAGACTTTTTTAATCTGTTGACATTTTGTGCCCTTGATTTTAACTGGAAACAGTTAAATGAAGAACTGGTGAAATGATCCCTGTACATAGAATCCAAGTTTTAGACTGAGCTGGCTAATCTTCATTTGTTTCTGAAATTATTTTGTACAAGTCTATGTTGAAACTGTGTTCAATGAACAATAGTATGTTATTTATTACAGTGTAAAACTGTAAATCTATTTATAACATACCATGATGAGCAAATTTTATTTTTTGTAATCGTTAGTGCAAGTATGCTAGTGAAAACTGTAATATATTTGTTTCTGTATTCTTTTAGTGTTGTGAACTAAATGTATGTCAAGTGCCCAAAGTCACTTTTATATATTGTCAATAAGTACTCACTTTAATAAACGAGCTGAGAAGTTGTTTTTTTAAGAAAAAGTTTAGAACCCTACTTATTTTATGGTACCAGGTTTCTACTCATTACAACTTCTATTTAATATCTAACGCACTGACCAAACTGGTATTCCTTGTACTAGGTGACAGAATTTGAGTAAAATTTGCTTCTAATTTAGGGTAATATGCTTTTAATGAAAAGAACCACCTTTTTTTAATAATTTGACTTTCCATTCCAATTTTGGCTATAGGCATTTGAAACCAACCCCCCCTGTTAGATCTACCTTGATCATGAAAGGTTTTGAATTACACATTTTGTTGTATAATCAAGTTTTTAATAACTTGGGATTTTGGAAGGCTCTTAAATGGTCTATTATGCTAGATCAGCTAATTTTTGAAGTCAATTGTTATACCCCCAAAACATTCTCAAACTTTTTAAAGAGCTAAAGTTGTCATGGATGTGGATGATCCCATTTAATGAAACTGGCTAAATGAACTGAATGACCCCACATGCATTTTCATGGTGTGTAGATTTTCTGATCTGACCCATGTGACTTTATAAACTTCACAACACAGTCTGAGATTTATGCTGGAGTGTGGGGAAATATGGGTCCAGACACAGACCGCTTAGAAATCCACTGCCAGTTCCTAGGTGCAGTAAGAATTTAAAAAGTCCTTTTCACCCTCTGACCCATTCCATATGTGCCTCCATGTACCCTCTATAGCCATGTATTAATAAAATATATTTTTCCATACCTTCAAGGAACTGAACTTCTTACTATCTAAAATTCTTTGGTATCATTGATACTTTCATGTGGAGGAAAAAAGTGTATTTGTAATGTTTGCACCAACAAATGGTAACTACTTCAAATGGGCAACAGCTTAAAAATGCTGTTCATTCTCTGAATGGACCACCTACTATCTTGAAATTCAGCCTAGCAGTGATAATAGTCACAGTTGTTAAAACAACAGACTTTCCATTAGGAAAAGAAGAGTAGTGGGTGTCTGTTTCAAAATCAAAGTAGGGTTCTCATCAATAAATGTTAGGGAAGCAGGTGATTGGATCTAAGTGTAAACACTTTTTTTTTAAAAAAAAAAGTTGGCCAGAGCTCTTGCTATCATGGTTTTTACTGATAGCGTAGACTGACAGGATATTTTGTATTATTAAAGATTACCATTGTATTATGGTGCTTTCTGCATTGAAAAGCACTGATCAGCTTCATTTGTATTGCAATATAAGGTCAATTTCCTGTTTAAAAACATCGGTCCCCATGATGAATCATTGCATTAAAAAGTGCATGTATTATAACAGTACTGAACAGTAATCTTTTGACAGTGTGAAACACTTTACATTCCTCTTTCAAAATGTTCCAGGCATCTCAGTAGGCTTTCTAGTTTGTACATGAACTCAAACCTGGTGCCAAGACCCTTAACCACCTCATGGAGCATGGTATACAGGACAACTTCTGATTTTTGTTCCCCCTTTAAAATGTAGAATCCTACCTCAGGCTGGTCTGCAACATTATGCTTGCTACTTTGCAAAGCACCACTCAAAGTAACACCTTTTGATGGTTAAACACCATGTGCAACTGTACCAGATGCTCTCCTGTTCTTTGTTGTCTGGTAAGTGCAGGTGGACCCTGAGGGGAAAAAAAGATAGAGACAGGGATGATGGCAGTGAAGGAACCTGTAAAGATCTCTCCAGATTACAATTTTTGCCCTAGGCTGTTCTGACAAAGCTGTGTATTTTGTGACATTGGTGATAATCAGGTTTGTTTCTGCACAGTTGGAGCTGGGACTGTCTGTGGTAGGGTCCTTACGGGTGCCGAAATCCAGAAGGTGTCTAATGGGAACTGTGTTGGAGGAAAGAACAAGCAATCTGTTGAAGCCATTGGGTGATACCACTTAGAAGTAGGATTGTGCAATCAAGATTGTTCTCTGAGAATCGTTTCACTCTCAGTGCTCATTATTACTGATACTGTGGTGTTGGTTATTTCTGTTTTAATGAAGGCATGATTATGTGTGGCCTGATAATTGTTTATAGACTCGTGTAGCATGGAAACACACCCTGACCATGTTCCCAAAGTAAAATAGTTTCCCTTGCCTGTGTTTGATCCACATATCTCCAAACCTTTCCTGTTCATGATGTTATTCAAATGTCTTTTAAATGTTTATAACTGTACTTGCATCTGACACTTCCTCTGGCAGTTCACTCCACACGCGAACCACTCTTGCTCCACGTCCTTTTTAAAACTTTCTGCTCACCTTTTTTTAAAAAATGCCTGCTAGTTTTGACCTATCCTAGTGAAAAGACCCTTACTATTCACTTTATCTATGCCCCTCATGATTTTAGAAGCCTCAATAAGGTCACCCCTCCACCTCATTTGCTCCAGTGAGAAAAGCTCTAGCCTATCCAGCCTTTTTTTTTTTTAAAAATAACGCCATTCCTCCATTCCCAGCAACAACCTGGTAAATATTTTCTGAACCCTCTTCAATTTAATGACATCATCCTGCCAAAGGAAGGATCAGAACTGCACACAGAGGCCTGACCAATGTCCTGTACGATCACAACGTGAAATCCCAACTCATATCCTCAAATTTCTGAACAATGAAGGCAAGTGTGCTGAACGCTGCCTTAACCACCCTGTATACCTGTGACACAATTTCAAAGAAATATGAACCTGAACCTCTAGGTCTCTCTGTTCTACCACACTGCCCTCGGCCTTACTATTAATTGTATAAGACCTGCCTTTGTTTAATTTATACTTCATACCACATTGACCCTGGGGAAATGAATACAGTTTCTCCATTAATGCTGTTTTGCCATATCAAGGATTTTACTGTACTCACTCCCATTATTCCAATAAAGCATGCCTCATTTGAGATAATGCAATTATTATTGGTTACTGATCTATTGATGGACGTATAGCAATGCTGACAGTGACCTTTAATGGATGACAGTCATTTGTTCCTGCCACACTTTTTATACTTGCTGTTTTGATCCATCTAGTTATGCCTGGGATTATTTCTATCTTCACTATTTTCTCCACATCCCATGTAGTTGCATAACGTGACAAATCTTACAAGGAAATGTATGTGGTCCTGTTTCAAATGTCTAAGAAAGGATTGTTCAATAATGGCAATAACCAACTTCATCCCTCGTCATGCGAATGGAAACAGTAGTATTCACTGTCATGAAAGGATGTGCAGCAACAGAAAGATTCACTGTATTAAAATTGTCAAATTTGCCGGGATAACTTCCAAGAATGTAACCATTTACAAGGTTTCTTTTGGAATATGTTTCCAGTACATGGTTTCAGAAATGTAACTATCATGTTATTTTGAGGATTGCATGCACAGATGAATGGTTTGAGCCTCGTTTATTTGGTTGTAAAACTGAAAGAATGTAATGGGTGGATGCCTGTTTGCATTAGGCATTTTGAAATGTTTTCTCATCACAGCCCTAAATGGCCTACACTATATCCTGACCCCTGGTTCTATACTCCCAGCCAGGGGAAACTTCATCCCTGCACCTAGCCTATCTAGCCCTATTAGAATTTTGTATATTTTAATCACATTCCATCTCATTCTTCTGTACTCTGATCAACACAGGCCCAGTCAAACTAATTTCTTCTCAAACAAAGATCCTACCATTCCCCAGTATCAACCAAGTGAACTTTTCTGTACACATTCTGTAGCAAGTATATCTTTTCTTAGGTAGAGAGGCCAAAGCCAAAACCGCACACTACACTCGGGTGCAGTATCAGCAAGGCCTGTATAATTGTGTAAGGCATATTAAGAATTGCTGTAGCTCAGGACTTCGGAACTGAAATCATCTTGCAGTGAAGACAAATATTTCCTAATTGTTTGCTGCATCTGCCTGCCTATTTTTCTTTGACTGATGTACAAGGATAACCAGATCCCTTTGTACATCCACACTTGCCAATAAATCACCATTTAAATAATACTCTGCCTTTCTGCTTTTCACATAGAAGAGCATAACTTCACACTTATCCACATCACACTGCATTTATCCACTCACTCAACTTGTACTGATCACCTTGAAGCCTTGCATCCTCCTCAAAACTCACAATTCCGCATAGTATTGTGCATCGGCAAACTTGGAAATATTTAATTTGGTTCTGTCATGAGCTGGTTCTCCCTTATCTATTCTACTACTTACATCCTCAAAAACTCCAGTAGATTAGGAAAGCATGACTTCCCTTTCATAAACATGTGCTGATATTTTATATAACCATTAATGCTTTTCAAGTGTTCTGTTAACATGTATTTTATAACATTTCTAGCAATTTCCTACCACTGATGCTAAGCTAACTGGTTTGTAATTCACTGCTTTTTGATTTCTTTCCCTCCTGTTTTAAATAGTGGGATTACACTATCTATCCTGCAATCTGCTCTAGAGTGTATATAGCTTTTGAAGATGACCACCAATGGCATCCAATATTTCCTAGGCAATTATTTTTGGACTCTGGTATGTAGATTATCAGGCCCTTGGATTTGTCAGGCTTTAACCCCATTAATAGTCCTAGCAACTTATTTTAACTAATACTGATTTTCTTCAATTCCTCCCTCTCACTAGACCTTTGATTCCTTAATATTTCTGGGAAATTATTTGGGCCCTCGTTTGAGGATTTCAGGCATTCTGTACCTTCTTCAGGTGCCAGCTTTGGTTCTGTCTGAAGTGCAAAATTTTGCAGGGTACAACGCACCACTAAAATCAGGATACCATTGCGTGGCTATATTGAAGGATATCTCCTCCTGACCCCAGATTGGTCTAAGCAAAGGAATCTGATATTGCACAAGCCAGTGGCTCTAAGGGCAAGATTTCCATGGTTGTACTTCCTCCATGTCTGTGTTGGGCTTCCACATTGGTGTCAGCAGTTAGATATTGAAAGGGTATATCCTGTTCACTCCTGTTGGAGCTGTTCGCCGAGGCTGTCTCGTGGACAAAAAAGCTGTTGAACCTGCTGAAGGATGAATGGTTATGACCGCTCCCTGGGTACTAGGTGCACACTTGCAATATC